TCCGGTTACAGTTTAAAAACCACAAAGTATGTAATCTATGCTCAAACAACAGCTTGTTTGTCTCTCATTTCCACACACAGACTTCCTTACTTAAATAACAACGCACTCAGTAAATGACCGTGGTTTTGAAGGTTACATCTGGCACGGCGTTCTTCATGATGAAAGCCCGTGAAAAGAAAAAGATATGTAATACCATCTGGATTTATTCTCGATGGAATAATCTAAAGGCGCGATTATCTTTTAATGATGTTGATTCCTTTGCTTTCGTTACCTCCTTTTTCTCCTTGATTTCCGTTTTCACATTTCCGAGGGCAAAATCTCGTCTTCATATACTACATACAATCGGAAATTCTTACGCAGAATGTTTTTTGGTTAATGGTCAAAAAACAAATATATGTGCTAGACAGCAAAGGTCATCCAGCACTACAGCAAAGTACTGTATAGTAGCAAAAATTGTGAAGAAGAAGTTTAATGAGTCACTGATTAGAAGTGTGTGTGTGCAAGCCAAATGACATACAGCATTTTAGGATAGTATGGCATTGATAAGGGCAAATAGGTATGAGGGCAAAGAAGATGAGTAAATGGGGCAAGGCAGGGATCAGTAAAAGGGGAAAGGGGAGGAGGGGGGGCAAAGGGCGAAGATCCAGGTCTGTGAAAACAGAAACCGCGAATATTTCAGTGGAGAAAAGTTATTAGGAAATAAACAGTGGGCGATACAGACGTCGGAGAAGTAGGAGAGGAAATACTGGGGAATGAGACAAGGGGTCAGGGTTGGGTATCAGGAAGAACGTCAGGAGGGGAGGATCCAGGGAAGGGCACTGTTGTGACAAAAGAGAGTCACTTGTGTTTCCAAGAGGGGGCGGAAGGGATAACAGGGAAGGAAGGAGGGATGGTGTAGGTGGAGTAGGGGAGGATGGGGTGTGTTGGGAAGGAGTGGGAGGAAGGGGTGTAGGGAGAATATGAGGAGGAGGAGGATGGACGTCGATACACTCGTTGAGTGTAGAAGAAATGGGAAATTGAGAGGATGAAGGATAAGCATGTCTTTTGGGTCATGATTAGAAAATATTCAGTGACCTGAGGGAAGGGGTAAGTCGGGTGGTCTGAGAAGCGAAGCTCTTATGAAGGGGAGAAGAGGGGATCGACATCTGAGGAGCAGATGAATAGGTAGGTATAGGATAGGATACGGTAGAAGGTGGGATGGAACGTTTAAATTATCTGATGCGATGGATAACGCGCGAAGGATTAGGGGTAGGCACCAGGGAAATGGTAGGAATTGGAGTGTCTGGGTTTAGAATGTAATTTGACTGGGAGAGGGAGCGAGTAGTTAAGAACGTAAGTAGGAGGAAAAGATATTAGGGGAGATGTAAAAACATCTTGGAGAGAAGGGAGAAGGGAACGAGAGAAAACCTCATAGACGCATCCTCTCTGGCTTTAAATCTGAAGACTGCTACCTCGGACTCGACCTTGTAGGCAGGGCAGCCCTTATAAAATACATTATGGTAGCCACCACACTTAGCACTCGTACATGATTGTGCAGGACAGTTAGAATGATCATTGCCAGGTTGGGCAAATAGAGGGCAATGGACAGTGAAGCGCCAAAACGACAACATTTCTGACGTTCTCGGGGAAGAGGGTCGATGTGGTCGGACAGAACAGGTCTCTCCGAAGGTCTTGATAGGGGAGGTAATGTCTACGGAAGGTTATCTTAGCAATATTTGTGCAGGACTTATGGCGGCCTCTGGGGGGAAGAGTGTAGCAAGCAGATCGTTTTCATAGTCTGACAGGGCAATCAGCCGGGGAGACGGAAACAGATCCAGTACAAGTATTAAGGGAGGAGTGAGGCCGGGCAAGAATAGTTTTGCCAGTAAAGTCAGTCAGAGTAGGCAAAGCACGAATTTGGGACTCAGACGTAAGATTGACAAGGCGTGAACGATCGGAACGGCTGCAGAAGGAAACTTAGCCTACTTATTTTTTTTATATATTGTTAGAAGAGGAGGGAATTCTCAGAGTATGGTGCTATACGAGAAATCACAAGTCTATCCCATTTAGTTGAACAAGAAAGAATACAAAAAAAAAAAAAAAAAAAAAAAGTAGTTGAAGAACGAGGACGGGATGAGGGAGTGGTGTTATTAAGGTAGTACTGCGGGGAGGTGGACAACAAGTATGAAGAGTTGTGATAAGGAAGGGGGGGGGGGGCATGAAGGCTGTGCAGGGTGAGGAAATGGAGTGGAGGATGTTGGGGAGAGAGAGGAATGTTTTCTGAAGGTTAGGTAACGACCTGGGTGGGTGACTTAGAATGGACTGAGCTGACAGCTAGCATCCAGGGCAGTAGCAATATTCAGAGTTGTAATCAAAGGAGAGCCATGGGTCAGAGAAGCGGGAAAATTAAAGTCTGGGTTAAGTTGATAAAGGGACAGGCCTCAATGCCCCTAATAAAGATTCAAAATCATGACTAGTCATGGTAAGATCGTGCAAAATTAGTTGAATCGAGGCTTGAGATCTAAAGTAGTCCTCAGTCTCTGTCTCGCAACCCTCCCCCCCCTCAGAAAATAAAAAATAACGTCACTAGTTCTAGTAGATTTAACTATGAGTTTCCTCGCCCTGTTTTTCATTTCTTATTTTAGCCTAGTACGACCTACCTGTAACAAATGATGGCATATTTCAGAATGATATATAGTTAGCATTGTATTGTTATAGCAATATTTGATTACTTGACTAAGTATGTTTTATATGTCTTTTAGAATTTTAAAGATAATGATCATATGCCACTTTTTTAAAGCTTGATACCTCAGCATTCTTACTTGTTTAATAAAATTGAGGTTGTTACAGATCTACAACTATAAACCATGTTCCCATAGTTCCTTGACTCCTTTCAGTGGCTAGAAGCTGAAGTACTACAATATATCTGCATTTGCTTATTATGGGTGATGGTAATAACTGTACTGATGCTGTTGCTGCTGATAGTGATGTTAGAGTTGATGCTGAGCTTTAAATAATAAGATTGATTGAATAAATTAAAAGGCACAAATAATAATCATTTCAACAATGAGACTTAATAGAGTTGCTGCATTTTCCCTCACTTAGCCAATAATATGTAATGATACTGAATCACTCCCTTATTTTATCCTTTGCAATAATGTTCAGATTCCCCTTCTGCTCAAAATTTACACTAGCATAAATGAGACATGCAAAGTCCCTCCCAAGAATGATTTCTGACCTTTCAGTATTTACGCAGATTTTTCCTTTCTAAAAGACATTCATGAAAGAAAGAGTTCATGAAAGAATCTGCAATGAAGAAGTTTTAGTATCTTCAGACAAAGAGGTTGTGTTGTTCAAAATGGTATTCAAAACTGCTCGATGATATGCTGCTTTAGATGTGATGATTCCTGTGCTGCCATTCTAGCAATTTTGTCCATTAGATCTAGAGTTTTTGAGTAAAAATCTAGTGGGAAAATTTAGAAAGTGTTTTTGACGTCCTTTAAAGCAGGCAAATGAGGAGCGTTTACACTTAATCTAGCGGTTCTTAAAGTCCAGTCTAACACTTTTGTGGAAATAGCAATGGCATCACTGGATGATTCCCTTATGGGTATTTTTGATATACTACAGGGCTCTATTGGATATAGAAGTGGTGTCATGATCAGAGCTCACATCGGTGGGCAAGGGGAAAGATGAGAAAAAAGGGAAACTAGTAGTTTACCAGTGGTTTGCCTGTCCATGTTCATGCCTACCCATGTGCCATCAGTCATGCATGATGATGATGATGGTGATGGTGATGATGATGATGATAATAATGATAGTGACAATGATGGTGATGATGATGAAAGTAACAGTAATAACATTAAATCAATAACAACGGTGATAAAAAATAATTATAATAATCATAATAACAGAAACTGATTTTTTTTCTTAAAAGTAATGTGTCCACCCTAAAACAATGTCAAGATGAACAGGTTAAACACACAACTCTCTCATTTATGTTTCAACTTTCAAAAAGTCCATTGCACTTCTGAGAAAAATTATAATCAAATAAAGAAATAAATACAACTATCATACACTGATGTTAATAAATGTATCTTGTTCTTAAAAGTTCCAGCAATATATCCAAAAGGGACGATGAATGATTCAATGACAAATCTTACACTTCTGATTCTCTGATTCAGCATTTACACATTTTTAAAACTTTTCCTTTATTTTCAAAAGGTCTGCAAGCTGTCTTGGGCCTCAAGACTGTGAACCTCCAAGTTCATGCCTTAATTTGGCACCAGTTGCATCTAGTATGGACAGCATAGTTTTATAGTACTGCATACAGACCATGTGCTGGAATATCAGATTCAGAAATCTTATATGAAACTGGTCATTAGCTAAGTTCATCTTTTAACGAGTTGAGTCAGTACAAAATCCCACGTATGCCAAGACAAATATACTGTCATTTGTCAGATTGGCTTTAGTTTGTAAAATATTTTCATTTTTCCTTATTATTTAGTGGTTACTCTTTAACCTAAGAGCAGACTTTGATGTTTCTGTACTAGTATAGGCAAATTCCTCTGAAGAAAATGTAGGTACCATGCTGACCAACTGGCCTCAAGTACATAGAAATGAATTTGAATAAAGACTTTTATCCATAAGATTAGACTCTATTTTACTTCATTAACTAGAATAAAAAATCCAATGCTCTAAATGGAATTTATGCCTTTTTTTCCACTCATATATGCTTGTATGTAACATAAATTCATTCTTCTCAAAATTATACAAGATTTTTGTCTCTTTTTATCACATTATATATATATTCCCAAAGTTGTTCTTTCAAAATAGACATTTTCAGCTAGTTTATTATCTGTCAACACCTTCATGGAGGCCGAGGTAACAACATCGTAAAAACTGCCATTGTGAAATTGGGTTATACTGTAATGCAAAAATTCTAGTACTGTTCAGAGGCCTTACTTTTGATGGTAATTATTTTTCCAAACACAAGAGGATAAATGGGGATAAAACAACAGGGCTAATGGATATGTCTTTGGTTGTCATTATTGTTCATAAAATCATTCTTGTTACATCCTATACTTGACAATTATAATGAAATCATCAATAGACAAAAAGTTTACACAAGGATAATTACTTAGTCACTTAAATCATTCACTGGAAACAATGAGTGAGAACTGAAAAACAGAAGAAGAAAAAAATATATATATATCAATCATTTTCCTGGGAGTAACAAAGTCCTTCTCTTTTTTTTAATTTTTGGTTTTGTTTTCATTCTTCAAGAAAAAGGTAAAATGAAACCACAAACTTTTGTGACTTTCTGCTTAAAATTGTTGCAAATAAAACAAACGATATTAGACTGCTGACATTGGTTGCAATTTTGTTCGTGACTAGGGGGTGGCATGAACAACGGAAGTATCGGGGAGCTGACATGCGCCAGGTCGTTTCGCCGCACTTGAAGTGGGTTGGGGTCATCACCTCTTTACCACAGAATTAAGGTACTCTTCCTTTCTTTTCCTTTTCTCCCTCTATTCATTCTTTCCTTTTTTTTTTTTTTAGTAATATATCTTTATATCTGGAGCCTCAGGCTGACCCCAGGACTTCTGTTAGGTGACGTATGACCTGGCTGCTCCCCAAGATTACCGCTACCAAAACATCTATCTCGGTCCAGGCCGCAGACGGCAGGAGAGGGCGCGGCTACGTCCAACCTCCTTCCCAAGCACTTCCTCGCTGGTGAAGGCGGTGGTGAGAAAAACAAAAACAAAAAACAAAAATGTCCGCGCTCTCTGCCGGCTGCGATCTCTGCGCCGACTGGGCCACCATCTAGGTTGTACACAAAAATGTTTATTTTTTTTTTTTAACAAGATCTTGGCCTCCTTTTTTGGGTGTAATCATAATTAAGAGGGGTTGTTATCATCAATATTCATGATAATTGTGACTATGGTAATTACAAGACTTTTTTTTCCACAGGGCAGTGATTCATAATGCTACCTGTGTTGCTTACATGAATGCAATTTGGAGGTTTAGTCTTTTATTATTGGAAAACTACATTATGTAGTTACATCATTACCTTAAGTTTGATTTTTTAAGAAGCCAAACTTCACCTTGTATTTCATGTTTCACAGTGCAACTGCCTTACACATGTTTATATATAAAGTTGTGTAGAAAACTGTTCTTTTGACTGCAACACAACTGAATAATATTTTTTTGAATAATCATTCACTTAAAAAAAAGGAAAATCCATGATTTGTGCTATAGCACCTAAAATGACAAGGAAACCCTTGAAAAAGTTGTCCGGCTTACACAACGCTGAAGACGACGCTGATAATTGCCAAAAGACTAAACACAAAAGTGTCGGTATGTAAGGCAAACGCAAGTGAGAACTTCACGTAGTTATTATGTGACACGTGACAGTCCAGCTGCCTTGGCTGCCTGTCCGTCTTGGCCAGCTAAAGCTATCAATATATAGAACATCTATCACAATAATAATTAAAAGCATACAAAAAGTCACAGCAATTCCAAAGGGCGTCACAATTTCTCCTGAGCCCTCGAAAAATTGGGATCCCTTTAGATTATTAAATAGGCCAAGGCGGACGGACCTGCCATTAAATGAGCAGCTCACATATAGATGAACAAGGGTTTCCAAATGCAAGAGTTGAGAACTGGCCATGTACGGCAGTGTGTGTGCAGTGCACACTCACGCACACGTGCACACACACTCTGAGGCCGGAGTGTGGCCATCAGGTACATAGAACACTCAAACTGTTGTGTCCTTTCTATCCACTTTATCAAAAGTGGTTTCATTCACACTCCTTTTATCACACAATTCCATTCTTCCTTTCCTTTCTAGTTGGTTGTTTGACAATCATAGTTGTGCTGGTAGCACCCTTACACTCTTTTCACACACCACTAACTGTCATTGTTGTCCCTGCCACAACAGCTGACTGGCTACAAAGCTTGGATCAGTATTAACTGGTTTGGTTTTTCTCCACATGCATGCCCATTCCGACGCCCGACTGCTGGGAACTGCTCCCCTGATCACACCACTGTTGTGGGGAGAGCAGCGTGGGGCTTCCAGTTACCGTGAAAACCGTATCTTCCTCCTCGTCATCGTCATCATCCTCTTCCTCATCCTCTTGGGCATGTGTGGGGGCGGTGAGTCAGGAGGCCTCATGTCGGCCACCACACAATCTGCAGGCGACAGCGCATCGGTGACATGCTCGCAGCGGTATGTAGCACCACAAGCACGGCACCAATAAGGATAACAAGGTTAATCCGAGCCACCGTCGCCCGCACAACTCATCCGTCGTGCCTCCAGGGCCCCCACATTCACATGGACGGTGAGCAAAGTCACCTTCTGCATCACTCATGCAATGATATAACATACCGTGTGCACAAGAGATGCATGTAAGTGTATCAATGGCTGTACGTACACAGTCTGGTGCGTATTCGCAGCTGCCCCGGGAATTTTTATCATATGTAAAGGTTTCCTGACAGTGCCGACAGCGGGCCTTGATGAACTTTCTGCCTCTGCGGTCTCTCTTTCGTGGCCTCTTACCATGATTCGTTGGAGGACATGGCTGAGGGTGCGTCGCCCCGGCAAGCTCGAGTTGCTGCTGCTTTTTCAGGGATGCTATGCTATCTCTCTTCTCTGCCTTGATGCCCTCCACCACCGGGTAGCTGTATTCGTGGTGCATCGTGCACTGCACGTAGGAGTACGTGTCTCCCGTGACCTCGATCTTGTCCTGGTCTTGGGGCATGTCTGGAGGGCTGCCCGCCTTGTGGTCGCCGTCCAGATCAAGGGGCTTGTCGAGGGGGTTGTTGTTCTGTGGCAATGGAGGCCGGGGCCGGGAGGGGAAGGTGATGCGGTGCAGGTGGTTGGCGTGGGAGTGGCTGTGTGACTGGGGCTGCATCCCGACCGTGGTGATGGCAAGGTTGGAAATGGTGGAGCTTGGAGAAGTGTTTGTTGTTGATATAGCCGTTCCCCCTGCGCTTCCGATCCCCCCCACTCCACCTCCTGGTGGTGGGTAGTGGTGATGGTGGTGGTGGTGGTAGGGGTAGTGGGGGGGATGGTCTGGGGTGGGGAGGGGAGTAGCGGTGGGTGTGTGACGGCTGCTGCCGCAGGTGGTGACCGACCCAGACGAGTTCGTCCGTGACCCATCTCTATCCACCGGAAGATTCACCGCCTGCAAATCACCATCACTGTCAAGGTTGTTTAT